GGGGGGGGGGAGGGGGAGAGCAAATCAGAACTTTTTTTTTTCACTGATCCACGCTGAATCCGCGCTTTAAAGACACATACAGGCACAGAGGCAACACTCTACACCACCGAACAAAATCCACGCCACAAACAACAGCAGAATGAAAACTATGCGTTAGAAACACTAAGGCAAAAACAAACCAAACAAAGAAACTAACGGAGTCAACGAATAACTTACTCCTCGCTCCGCACTCCAACAACGGTCTATGCCTTGCGTTCCACTGCAGTAAAAAAACGGAGCTGGTAGGAAAAATAATGCCGTTGCGTCCCACTCTTTGTACAACCGTTTATATATATATAAATATATATACCGTGGACCCATCGCCCACGGATGACGAGCCCAAGATGACTCTTCATTCGTTATGATCATTCTGTAACGACGCAAAGGGAAAGGTAGCTAAAAGCGCCCTTCAATCGCCTCCCGTTTGAAGTGAGGCAAACGTAATGAAAAGATTGGATGCCGACCTTCAACCACTTTACCCTTCGCGAAGATCCGTGTAGTGATAACTTTGAGGGCGGACGACACTGCTGGTTGCTTCCACCTGAAACACGGAAATATATCCATTTCTCTCATGGGCCCTCAACAAAAAGAAGAAAAAAAAAAGCCCCGAAAAACACACAAAAAAAAAAGACCCCTCAAACAAAACAAAAAAAGAAACGAGTCACAATAAAAAATGAAAGCGGTAATAAACAAGGCATTTATTTTGTGCTGCGGGTACCCCCATTCCTGCAGCTGGGCATTGGCTTCTTCATTTTCTTCGCTGGTCAACATCGTTGATAACCCAGCATGCCTTCATTCCGCTGCTTTTCTCGCGCTCCCCCCTCCCTCCCTCACACACACCAAGCACCACGGGACTTACACACGATCCCGAACGGCCACCTTTCTTTGAGTGGAGGGGTGTGCCGCGCAATGCATCTATTCACCCACCCTCCTCTCCCATACCGTTCTCTCCTTCTAGCCTTTCCCTTGTTGTTGCTGTTGCTGTTGTTCTTTTTTTTTTTTCTCTTCTTCTCTCTTAATCTAACTACTACTTCTTCTCCATCACCACGGAGGGGCCCCGCTCCGCTTAGTTACCTAGCCCTATAGCCTTCGTTTCCCTTTTTTGTTTTATATTTGGTTGTTTCTGTGCGCTGCTCACTTGAGGTCAAAACCCAACGGGATTATTTTTCACAGGGTTGCACGGCCTCTTGCCACTGCCCATACCCATGCCTGCAAATCCAGCAATTCCTTCATCGGTGCTAGCTCTTGGGGCGACGCGCCTTCTGCCATGCAACACCGCGCCCCCCGCTCGACCGGGGTTACCGGAAAAACCGTTCGGCACCAGAGCAGGGCCAGGTGGGACCAGTGATGGGGTGCCGTCGTTCGCTCGTCGTGCCCCCAGATGCTTGCCAGTCTCCTCGTTTTCGCCGAAACACAAAAAGTGGCTTTGCTTGTTGCCTTCAAACTTTTCACGCACCTCGAGGTCACGCTTCAACTCAGGGTCTAGTGGCCTGAGCCGCAGCAGCTCCTCCACATCCCGCTCCCGTCGAACACGCGACGGGGGAATCACTGGGGCGTCCGTGTTCCAAGAAAAAATGTTTAACCCACCCTTAGTGAGTCGCTCCGCTTCCAACTGGGGCTGAGAGGCGTGACACGCGGTGGCAGGAGACCCGATATTGTTTTCTTCCTCCATGAATATTTCCTGCACCTCCGGCATTGCTGAGAGGTGCGAGTTCTTCAACGGTTCCTGCTGAACGGCAAATGGAGCCCTCAAGTAGGGTGGCTGGTGGTCCAGTACTTCATTGCGAAGAGCATGTCGCCGGCCGTGGTGGCGGCATTCACCCCCACGGCTCTCACTTTCCAGTCCAAGATTAGCCAGCATTCCTCTCTCCACGTAGATCTTTTTCTTTGATTCTATCTGTCTCTGTACGTCTCTATCTTTTTTTTTGCCCAGTTTCCCTCTTCTTTGCTTGTCTTCTCGCTGCAATCCCTTCTCCTCAGTAACAGGCATGCAGGCAAGGGAGGTCCCGCACCAAAAGAAAACACACACAAAAAAATAATGAATGGGAAAAGATGTGTTAAGAGGAAGGATAAGACCGTTAAACAGCAGCAAGAGAAGCATGGCGCCAGTGTCCCGTGAGCAGACACACCGACAGACGTGCGCGGGCAGGGAGGCAGGCGCGGGGTGCGTGCGGCCTCGTAACCTAAAAGTAAAAAAAAAACAACAACAACAACAACAGTATAGAGACAACGATAACCAGAACCAGACAAAAAAAACATGAACGGCAGCCCGCGGTCAGGAGGGGGAGGGAAGAGAAGTCAACAACTAAATGGATCAAACAACCAAAGGCATTGATACTGCGATACACACGAGGCACAAGGGCGCCTATCTACATGTATTTATTTCCCCCCCCCACCCCAACGACAACAACAACAACAACAACAACAACGAACAACGAACT